GGGGGGGGGAGGAGAGATTACTCTCGTTTCTACACTCGTTTTTACGTGTCAATGCTTTCTCTTGGGGCTTTTTCTTTTTCAGTCATCTTCTTCGCTTCGTAATGGATTTCCACGGCCCAATGACCCAGATTTCTAAGGGATATCCCGGTAGATAACAAATTCTCATTTTTATTATATTTGTATTAATAATTATATCGTCAATTATCTGGATTAATCGAAGACTACAGCATTTTAAACTGTAATTCATTCGAATAATAATTATAAATTCGCTAATTCATTGATTGAATTGGAATATAATTATGACAGATAAATATTGACCGATATTGAGAATATTGTTGATACGAATTCTAGTGAAAAATATATTATTTCTCAGTGTGAATTGTTAAAAGGGATTAGCACAGAGGGATTAACTGAAAATCCAGAGAGAACGTGGGGGAAATAGTTAAACGTAGAAATAGTGAGGTAAAAGGTGTGAAGACCAATAAAAATGAATCACAAGCGGTCGAGTTTCAGAAAAAAAAGAATTTAATGGAAGAAAGCGAGGAAAATGTCTGACCCAGGCCATGGGTTTACTACTAGCACCGGTTAAATTCGTTATTTTGTCGAATAAAAAGTGAAAAGTTGGGAAAATAAATAGTGGACGAAGATCCGACTACTTCCAGTAGATGAGGTACTCTCTGTCCCATTAAATGTTGAATACCCTAACCTCGAAGGATACGAAGAAGAAAAAAAATGACCGACATTTAATCATGAGGAAGAGAAAACCAAAAAATCATTGACTTTTATCCCAGGGGTAATCAAGACAGAAATTAATCCAAATCTTCTCCGACTTCTTCTAGTTCTCGTCTTCATCACAAGTTATTTATTCCTCAAGTGGTGAAACTCTCTCGGAATTTTTTTCCTATCCTTTTTATTTTCAAGGGAAAGTTGGCGAGTAAATGGAAAGCTCGTTGAAACCAAGAGATAGAATAGATCGACGGAAAAAGTGTAGGAAACAAGAGACATTTTATCCAACTGTAATTCGAGACTACTCCAATTCTTTTCTCACCAATACACCATCCAGAGACGTCTATTTTATCCTACGTGAAAGTATCGAGTGTTTTCTCGTTCTTTCATACACTCCAGCATGCAATCTTTCTTATCGATAGGAAATCCGCTTTAGCACTCGCTCCAGCAACGGAATGTGCAATCCTCGGGATGTCAGATACATCTGATTTTTTTTTTCAACTCATTCGCCAATTTTTACTATTTAATTTCATTAAACTCATTGTTAATTGTCTCTGATGAAAAATTTCGGTGCTCCAGGCACCGAAAATTAATTCTGGGTAAAATTAATTCGTTGGAATTTTTTCGAAATTTTTTTTGGGAATTATTGAGATTCTGGGAGATTTACTCCAATATTTTTTAATTATTTTGATAATTGCAAGAGAATTCATGAAAATTCAGGTGAAATTTCTCCTGAATTTTGAATAACTTGAATTATCAGTCCAATAGAAAATTCTGACATTCAATTCGAAAATTGAAAAAAAAAAGCGCATATTTTCCGAATTTTTCACAAGGACTTGAATTTTCCGAATTATATTAAATATTAAGCCTCGCACCATTCAACCCCTAATAATTTCCAAGCCTTTGATTGCTGTACGAACTCCATAATTAATAATTAATTACATTCAAGAATTTCTCAGTCCTTGCAAAAGATAAAATTTCGTATGATTCTCTGAAACTCTAGAACGTAAAGATCCGCTCCCATTAATTTCCCCGAAACATATGAGGTGAAAATTCTTCTGTCAGCGTTTTAAACAATACAAATGCAAATAATCCCGGGTTGTGTACCGCTTTCAGTTACGAGTGTAGAATCACGACAGAAAATCTCCGCTTTGACGGTAACAAGAAACTTATACTCATCCCCAGTTGAACTGGTGAACTACCCTAGGAAGTCAACACAAAAGCTTCACTCACCCCCGGCTGCCATTTGTACTGGTGTTCCCTCTGGCCTCCATTTTTAAACCTCCTCCATCCTCCCACCGTGATTATTGCCCTGGAAATGTAACGCCATAAATAAACATTCATTCGTAAAAATGTCGTAAAGAATTTCATTACACCCCAGGCTCGAGACATTTGCACATGAGTCGTGCAATTTATTTAACTATTTACTATACTATTAAACCCGTCACGAATGAGAATATGAAAAATTTTGGGCACTAGTGCGCAAATTTGCAATACGAATTTATCTAAAGGGAATTTTAGTAATAAAAAATTGGAGGAATTCGCAATGAGAGAAATCCTTCATGTCGTTGCATTAAAAAATAATAATTCAACGTAGTAATATTAATAAATAAGATAATCATAATTATTTGTTTATGATTAATTATTATATTTTGGAGATTTATGTTTGTGGAGAGAATTTTTTTGGTGATTACGCAAATTCCGGCTTTTGCCTATTCCATTGTTAAAGTCGATTAATAAATATTGTTGCTATTTATTTTTATTGGGGATGAGTGAAAAATAAATGTGGGTTTAAACTCTCGTGAAATTCTGTTATTACCTTGTGAGGGGAAAATGGGGGAAAGTTTATGATTAGGGAATGAGAATTTTCCCGTGAAAACCCGAGGACCCGGGACTTTCTGAAATATTCAAATTGCAAAATTCCAACCCAGTGACGTATTTTCGGGGCTGTCACTGATATCAGGATTTATTCAACCGAATTATCAGGAGAATTAGATAAGAGCGCGGAACATTTGTCGCTGTCATTTATTATCCTGACTCTGCGAGGAAAAGAGTGAAAAAATTCTGGAAAATCCCCCATTGGCGAATCATTTAATTTATCATTTCATTTCTTCAGAACCGTGTGAATTCAAAAATTGAGGAATTTCTGAAAAACCTCAGCGATTTTGAAAATGTAAAATTCATTCCCCCGGATTTTCAATCTAGTGATAATTCAATTGTACTTGATATTTGAAAAATCAATAATTATCTAGAGGAAAAGCAAAATCTCCTTGGATTTTCAAATGATAAATTGATGAACCACTTTTAATTAAAATTCAATTCCAATTCCGATAATTGAAAATTCCGACTTAGTAACAAAAAAAATTGAAAAATCCTCAAATATTTAAATAATATTCTGAATTCCCAGATAATCCAATGATAATCAATTCCTCCAATGAATAAATTGATTTCCCTATTTTCCGCGTCTCCCACGCAAACTGAATATGTAATTAAAAATCACGGTTGATTGATGAAAAAAAATAATGAAAACCGACTCATTGAACCCCCATTGTAAATTCTATTGAATTCGAGGGATCGATCGTTCTCGGCATTAGTCAAACTACCACCTGGTGTCCTTAGATAGATTAATAGGTCGATTATTGTACTCACGAGGTGGGACAATCACATGATACAAGGTCGATTGTCACTCAAGGATTACACCCACTCAATACCGGCATCATTGTTAACGATTCAATCGATAATTACAAAATCAAGTGATTAATCGTCGATTGCAACATCCCCCCAAGTCATTTGTTCACTTAATGATTAATGAATTTTTTCCTACCAGATAAATATAAAAAATTGTCGGCATGGAAAAAAAGCCCCTGAGACAGCGCGACAGAAATCCTGGGATAAATAATGGCGGATGGAATGGAAAAAAAACAATGAAAATAAAAAAACCAAAGGGGGTGGGAGAGGGGTAGTCTGTGTCGTGGGGTGCAACGTGAGCTTTTAAATGTCAGGTATCGATTCTCGTGTCCTCGATACAACGGAATCAGACGCTATCAGTCGGGGGTTGAGTTTGAAGTCCACCCACGTGCTGGGTACACGAAAAAATCTATATATACCCTGATAAAGTGTACTTTGTACTTTATTTGAGTAAATATGCTGGAATAAGTCAATTTATATATTTATTTCAAGTATACTTCATACTTGACTTAAATGGTCGAATGAATAAATTTATTTCAAGTGCATTAATCCACTTAATTTAAATTTAACGTTAAAACTTGGATGAAGTATGAAATATATAAATAAATAAATATAATAATATACTTTTATGGATATATTATTATATTTTCAAAAGAAAATTTAAAGTTGAAAATTTTTTGAGGAATTTCCATTATTCTTGTTGTATGAATCGTGAATTTTTTGCGTAAATAGTCTCTGGAGTTATTAGTGGGTGGGTGGGTGGTGGGTGGATGAGACGAAGGTCATCTCCAGGGCAAGCGAGCTTGCTAGTAGCTTGTAGGGCTTTTTCGCATTATCCAAGATATTTTAGTAATTATTCAGACATACTGCTAATATTTTCAGATCATTTATACTGTCTCCCCCGAATCGATTGCTCCTGAACTCTTGCCCCTGAACGCTCGAGTAATGAGTTAATTTGGGATACGAGAGATCGAATTGAAATAAATATAAAGCAAACTCCAACCGTTCGTTTTTTCCTCATGTTTTTTTATAGAACCGCCAAAAATATATTTCAGAATATCTCGTAATTGTTTATCAATTTTTAATGGAAAAATTCTGGGAATGATTCAATTAAACAATCGAAAAAATTAAATCGACTTCTTTAAAATGGCGAATTAAATTAATTAATCAATTGAATAAAATACTAACGAGAAATTTCAGAAGTTGAGAATTAAATAGAGTATTTTGAGAGAAAATAAAAAATATCAGAAGGACTTTGATATCTATAATTTCAAGTAGCACCTTTGAATAATGAAAAATGTGGGATTAACCTGTTACGAGAGTGCATTTTATCCGATCCTACATAAAACAAAACCGAAAAAAATATTTCCCGGTAGCAAAATCATTTTCCACCGACTCTTTCCATTCAGAAAAACGAAAAAAAAAAAAAAAACGAGCTCTTAAATTAGTAAACACCTTAAGAAAAGTAGAAACTAACTAGCAGGTGTCTAGGTGACCCAGTAAAGGTTCACTGGATAGAATTTACGAGAGTTGCACTGAGCGAAATATAAATGCAGACACACTATTAGATATAGATATACAGAAGGAAAATATCAATGTAGAAATGAAAAAAAAGTATGTATAACCCGGTACACAGTCGGACCATCATCGTGGCCTCGGTTATTCGCATAATTCATACAACAATCGATGCAAACTGCCAGGGGGTGGTGGGTGGCAGTTCATGAAGAAAGAGAAAGACACATTAGGAAAGGTCGCGGATAGCCCTGCGACACGACAACTTCAGTTCTTCAAAATAAGTCTTCAAAGGGCCACAAAAACATTCGATCATGTACCGAGTGATACAGAATCCAAAAATAATCCAAAAATAAGAAAAAAAATATCAGTTCCCCGCGTTCATTCAAGAATATCCCGGAAACTACTGGCTTCACAGCAAAATGTCCGTTGAACTTTTTCTCGGAAATTCAATTTCCCAGGGAAAAGGTTATACAAATTTTTTTTGTAAACCTCGCGGTTCTCGAGATATTCCTGGAGATGATGTAGTAAGATGAGGGAATTTCTTGATTTGGCAGTAAGGGGAGTGAGGGGATGGGGTTTGAGGGTTGAATTGACGGTTTGAGTGGGGATTGATTGATTATTGATTTTTACTCAACAGCTGAGGCAGGACTAGCTGCATCGGCGGAATTGAAAGCCCCGGAGGATCGCACCGATGAGGAAAAAATGGCACTTTTGGGTCGGCCAAGGTTGGGTGACGTTTCTACAGCTCAAATCAGGATCAAGGAGTCAAAAGAGTTCAAGAACACTGTCGACAAACTCGTGCAACGCGCCAACGCTTCGATTTTACTCGGTAAGTTACTTTTGTCACGATATTGTCGGAGTTGATAAATAAAAGAGATGAAAAATAAATGAAAACTTCTCGTGATCAGAGAATTCCTACGTTTTTTTTCTTTTTTTTTCGATATAAAAAAATAAACCTTGTCACGATTTTCATATTCTGATTGAGAGATAAATATTGCAGTATGGAAGAATTAATGGAATAGAAAGAAACACCGATTTCCCTTGCAGTTCATTTTCATTATCGAAAATTGCATCAATTTGTTTTTAATTTGGAATTCAAGAGAATGACTCCCCGATTTTTTAACGAAAAATGGAGATGGATTGGATGTTAATGTCAAGCCGGCAAGAACTCTAAAATTTTTTAATTTGTTTTAAATTTTGATTTTAAAAATTTGTTCTAATGAAATTTCCATTATTATTAATTTTTGTTGTCTAGAACCAGAAATTCCGATTCCGTAATGAAGCTTCCCCCAAATATCTCCGAATCCAAGAGAGATGCGAAAAAATTCATAATACCCTTTTCAACAAATCTCATTTAGCTCTACAAAAAAGATATCACCAAAAATTCCGCTATCTCCCGTAATTTCGGAGATATTTTCGAAAAACTGAGGGTAACCAATTTCCTCAACCCTGAAGGATTTAAAAAAATATTTATCAAACCCAATTAATCTTTTAGTTAAAAAATGGTGATAAAATTCAGATAAATTCATGATCAAGTAATTAACGAAAGGTTGTAATTTTAGGAGTAATTTGAAATAAAATTTTATCAGATAGGTCTGAGAATGGCCCGAGGGCGCGTTGCTGGTAACTCGTCGGCCATTGTTCGTACTTTCTCTACTTTCAATCCCTCTTTGTGACTTTCCAGTTGTTATTGGCACTTTACTATCTATTGTCAATGCACTTGACTTTTTTCCTGATGCCCCCCCCC